TGCTATGAGTCGAGTTCAACTCAAAGGCACATAACAACAACAACATTGCTCCCTCTTGGTTTTTCAATTTCCTACTGGCTTCCCAGGGAGCTCTGGTAGTGTAGTGCCTAAGGTACTTGACTGCTAACCAGAAGGCTGGCAGTTCAAACCCACCAGCCACTCCTCAGAAGGAAGGTTGGGCAATCTGCTTCCGTAGTGATACTGCCTTGGCAACCCAAGGAGGGGTTGTTATGAGTCAGACCTGATTCTATGGCACATAACAACAACAACAACAACAACTGGCTTCCCAAAGTGAAAGGTGATAGATTAGCTCTCTTTCAGCTTTCCATCTTTAATCACATACATACTATTCTCTCTTAATAGTCTCTGGCATGCCCAGCCTCCCAATAGATTTAAATCACGATTTGTACAAGATTTTTATGCTTCCATTTTATGACTAGTAAATGTCATAAAATAAATACCTATTGTTTATTTAAAATAAATTAGGTCTTTAATAGGTATTTATTTATCTTCAATAAATTTTTCTTAAATTAATACCTAGTAAATACCTGAGTCACATGTATCCTCTGATTGCTTCTTTTGTACCATAGCTATTTGCTTTTCTTCATATTAACAATTAACATAACTTTTCTGATTTTTCAATTTTCTTGGTAATTATTATTAACTAAATCACAAGCCCTCTGAAAAATGCCTAGTTCTTCTTTCAGTACATGGAAACACATCGTGAATTCTACCAATTCGTTTTCCTTTCCTTCTCCCAAAGCCTTTGTCTTCTTCCAATCTGGTAGGTTGCTCCTAGGCTCAGTGGTCACCCTCACCCAGGACCCCCTTTACTGCTTGCTGTCTTTGGGTTTCCTTTTGCCTCTCTTGGATGATAGCTCCTATTTCCAGCAGTCTATGTCTTCTTCTTTCTTGGTTAACTCCTTCTTTAAGGACAAAAAAATCCTCCACTACCCTCTTGAGAAAGGCCTCACAGGAAGCAAATTTATCGTGACATTCTATGTTTGAAAATATCTTCACCTTAACATTGCTTTAATTGATAGTTTGGCCATATACAAACTTCTAAATTAGAAATAATTTTTCCAAAGTCATGGATCCATTCATTTTCTCCTGATTCCCATTGTTACTGAGAAGCCTAAAGTTATTCTCTTTATTGATCCTTTGAATATCCTGTCCTTTCTCTCTGGAAGCTCTACTTTCTTTTGTTCTTGGTGTTCTGAACCACTGTGTGTCTTGTTGTGGATCTACTTTTGTCCTCTGTGCTGGGCCACTATAAAACTGCTTATTCTGGTAGTTGATGTCTTGGCTAATTCTGAGGGCTTCTGTCCTTGATTTCTTCCATTTATTTTTCTCTTTTGGGCCCTTCTATGTTTGCATGTTGGGTTCTCTGAGCTGGTTTTCTGGTGTTCTTGTCTTTTCTCTCCATTTTCCATAACTTGGTCTTTTATTCTGTTCATGATTTCCTCAACTTTATCTTCCAGTTTTCCTGCCTTTGTATTTTTAATTTTCCAAGATCTCTCTCATTTTTGTTTTCTTTTATAGTACCTGTTTGTCTTTGTTTCCTTGGTTTTTTGAAATTTTCTTCTCTCTGAATAGTCCCTGTCACTTTCAAACTTATAATTGCACAATGTTTAATCCATCTTGAGTCAATAGTTACTTGTGGGTTAGTGTGGGATCCAGTTATCTTCTTCTCTGTACAGTGAGCTAGTTTTTGTAATATATCTATCAAAGAATGCATCTTTCACCATTGCCTTTCTGAATCACTTTTTTGTTTATATTTCACCTCTTATCCCCTGACTTGCCTCACATTACCCTTAGATCTGATATCTGGCCCTGCTTGTTCACTGACAGGGCTCTCCTCCTCACTGTGTTGTGTGTTGTCCTGCTGACTGTCTGCAGTAAGCCTTTGTCTAAAAATGCGGTCTTCTCCCCAGCACTGAATGACAACATTAATAGATTTGCCTCTCTAAAGACAACCAGGCAGAAAAAAAGTATCCCTATTGGCTGACGGTCCTTGAGAATAAAAATATCAAGAAGCTGTGCCATTTTCAGTAGAAACGTCACTTTGCTAGAAAATTCTTAGCCAAGAGAGTGAACAACTCAACCAGTAATTATGAAATGATATGCACTAATTTTCCCATAATAATAATATTTTATTCATAACTAGATGGAGTTCTCAGAATTATTCTGAAGAAATCTAGAGAAGAATGTCTCAGGGTTCAAGTTTGATGGCTTTCAATTACATTTCCATGGTGAAAGGCTTGATTCTCAAGGAGGCAATTGCAGCCTAACAGTAGAGAGTTACTGATAAGTACATGGCTTACTTAGTGCCTGAAATATTAAGTACAACTTAAGCACACAACCTGTGGCAGGGAGCAGTAGCAAGAACTTTGTACTTGAAAGAGCATGCATCCATTGTTGCTTTGCAGCCTGGGAGCTGTAAATATATAAAACATTTATTGACTCAGTAGAATTGCTATGTATCAAATATCTTGCATCAGATATTAATAATGCCTAGCAAGAGATAACCTTCTATTAGAGATAAGAAACGTTAGACTCATAGAGGTCTAATACCATGTGAGAGGGGTTGGAGTTTGAGTCTTGATCTTACTCCAATACCCTTTATCTTCCACTCACCATAAAAAAAGAAAGAAAGAACTGCCTTCAAGTTGAATTATTTTAACTTTTTATTGTGTTTTGGATGAAAGTTCACAGAGCAAATTTGTTTTCCATTCAACAGTTCATACACATTTTGTTTTGTGACATTACATGACATCTTTTTTTATGTAACATGAAAAGAGACACCTTCTTTGAAGTCATTCTCTGGTTGTTTCATGAGTGCACTGTGTTTTCCTGACAGGTCATTGTGCAGCGCTGCCTCTCAGGCAAGGACATGTCTCATGTGAAGGCTGCCTGTATCATGTGCGGGTACCTGAAGCTGCTGCCCATGTTCCTCATGGTGATGCCGGGAATGATCAGCCGCATCCTGTACACAGGCGAGTCCTGAATCCACATGTCCTATCTTTTTTATGCTTGAATTCTGAGAAGTGTTTTTAAGATGTGTCAAAACCTTGATAAACTAGAAAACCCCAAAAAGGAAGGAAAAACACAATTCCAGATAGAAGAACAGCTTGTACAAAGGGTCTGAGGAGAAATTTTGGTGTATTTGACACTTTGTTCACTTAGCTCTTTTAAAATCAAACCTACTGCCATAGAGTCATATCCGACTCATAGCGACCCCTTGTTGGGTTTGTGAGGTGGTATCACTATGGAAATAGATTGCCCAACCTTCCTTCTGAGGAGTGGCTGGTGGGTTTGAACCGCCAGCCTTCTGGTTAGCAGTCAAATACCTTAGGCACCATGCTACCAGAGCTCCCAGCTCGTTTATACTGAGTGCCTATCTGCTGTAGACATTTGAGTCTATACATCATGTTTTGGTGAATAGCTTGATTTAAGCAAGTCTAGAGAATAACAGCAGTCCCTGGGTGGCACAAATGGTTAAGCACTTCACCACTAACCAAAAGGTTGTTGGTTCAAATCCACTCAAAGTCTTCTTGAAAGAAAGACTTGAAGATATACATCCAAAAAACCACAGCCATTGAAAACACTATGGAGCACAGTCCTACTCTGACACACACAGGGTCACCATGAGTTGGAATCAACTCAGTGACGGCAGTTTTTTGTTATTTCTTTAGAACATGAGGCGGAGGGGTACTAGAGGATGAGGTAGAATTGAGGAAATATGAGTTGGGAAAACAGTGGTGGTTGCAATCGCTAGCATCTCTGACTTGAGAAGGTCTGGAGAACTTCTCTTGATCCCTCTGAGAGGGCTGGAGGACTGCGCCAACTTTTACTGCTTTGGAATCAGGCTTTTTGAGTTCCTTTAGCTTCTGAGTCAGCTGAAAGTAAATACTATTATTGAAAATATTCCTAAAAATCAAGTTTTTTATTACAAAATGTGAAGAAAATATAATTAGACATTTCTTGGCTAATCAAGACCTCTAATGACTATAAGGTCAATTCAGAAGCCATGGAATCTAATTCATGTTTTCTTTTTTATTTGGGTGAAATAACATAACAAAGAGCTCTAGTGGTGTAGTGGGCAAAACATTGGGCTGCTAATCAGTAAGTTGGCAATTCAAATCCACCAATTGCTCCATGGAAGGAAGA